GGGGACGTGCAGGAGGCAGCTGATCAATGATTGTCTCTCTCTCTCTCTCTCCCTTCCTCTCTGAAATCAATAAACACACACACACACACACACACACACATATATCTATATCTATATCTATATCTATATCTATATCTATATCTAATCTATATCTATCTATATCTATAAAGAGCCAGGGTCTGTAACATCCAAAACTACCGAAACGGATGACTGAACGCCAGGCTGTGCATGCAGCAGGCTTGGGTGGGCGGGGACTGGCAAATGGGCTGAACTGCTGACCTCTCAGTCCCTCCCCCTGGCTCCCACGGGCACTGCAGTGACCCAGCACTGACTGCTGCCGCTGTGGGTGCCACGGAAGTCAGTCATGGGTCCCGGCCAACCATTGCCGCGCGGCGACCCAGCACTGACTGCTGCTGACATGGGCACCACAGCGACCCAGCACTGACTGCCAAGGGGGCTCTTCCCTCTTAATTTCCCCTATCCTCTCTCTTCTTAAATAAACAATCCTACAATAGAGGAAGGGAGGACAAACATTAGAGCTTCATAACTCTGTCAATGTTGGGGAATAGGTTCCCAATTTAAACACTGGTTTTCCTGTTACCCATTGCCGAGTCATCTGATGACATCATCTGCCCCTTAGCCCTCTACAGATAATCCATTATCAAGAATCAAATCTAAAATGTGATAAAATAATAAGAAGCACTCCTATTATGTGTCAGGCACTATAATAAGTGCTTTGCATCTATTTTCTTATTTACTCACCACATCTTATGAAGAAAGATACTATTAGTACCTGATTTTACAAATGCATAAACTGAGGAATGGAGAGGTTAAATAATATGCCCAAGGTTACAAAGTTACTAAGGCTAGGATTCTGTTCCAGACACATTTTCTTTTTTTGCATTTTTTTTATTAGTTAAGGTATTACAAATGTGTCCTCATCCCCCCCATTAACCCCCAACCTCCCTCCCCGCCCCGCACACTCATGCTCCCATCCCTCTGTTGTCCATGTCCATTGGTTTGGCTTATATACATGTATACAAGTCCTTCGGTTGATCTCTTCCCCTTACCCCCGCCCTCCCCTACTTTCCTTCTCAGATACATTTTCTTAATCACTCTATATTATCATGGTCACAGGGGAGGTGATAGGCTTTTCCATAAGTTTCTCTATTTTTATTGTTGTTTTTATTGATTTCATAGAGGAAGACAGAGGGAGAGAAAAATAAAATCATCAGTGATGAAAGAATTATCAATACCTGAATTAATAAATTAATTTTAATCTTAGCGATGGATTGTTTGCTGTTGTAGGTATCCATGGTTACAATAAAAAAGAACCCTTTATTGGTCCCTTTTCCCCTCCAACTTTGTTGAGGTGTAATTGATAAATGCAAATGGTATATACTTAAAATATACAACTTAATGATATATCTATATCTATATCATCTATATCTATATCTTCTATTATTGTTTTGTCTGAGACTAACAGGCCCAAAGTAGTCATATCACCCTGTTCTTTTCTCCCTCTTCACAGTCTTTTATTTA